CATTTCCATCCATACTTTATTTACACTAGCATTAAGATTTCTAATAGCAGCCTCTATGTATTGGCAGAAAACAAGGGAAAAATTATGATTTACAAGTCTACATTTATTTAAAACTACAATTGCCAGCTTTCTGTTTTAAACTTCAGGAACAAACACAGAAACTTCCAAATCACGTTATTAAAATCACTGAAGGATTATAGGATCACATAAACTTTACCTGCATGTGCAGTGGATGATGTCCCTCCCAAGAGGCATAACATATCCCTAATTGCTGTGCTCCTTTGAACATAAATTTTTCATTACTATCCAGCTATCCAGCTAGACTAAGTAACTTGATTCAGAGGACATGCAGATTTCATTTTTTGGAATATAACTATGCATTGTTATATGGTAAACAGCAATGGTGAATTCTTTTTAATGAAGATTTCTAGGTCCATAATACAGAAATCATGAATGACATTTATTCTCTCATTCTGTCTTACAGTGAGGCAGAAACACGGTATTTTTAGATTATATGTTCTTATAAGACCAAGAAGTTCATAACCATAATGAGAGAGCTGTGATTAATGATACACTTCATTTAGCAAAGCTAACTATTAATATTATGGTGCAGTTGCTGTTAGACAGTTTTCTCATTTCTTGCAGTAATATTGCTTCACAGAAGAAATATATGATATAATGTAGCTAAAATGCTTAGTAACAACAGTTAGAAAAAAGTATCAGACTATCATCCAATTAAAGAGAGCTTTTGATAGTATTTGGCCTGAAAATTCAGAAATATGGTTTCAACTCTTGACTCTGCTATAGAGTTCACAGATTATCAGCTGATAATCATCAGTTGAAAGTCTTCAGTTATCTAAATGTAGGCACCTCGTATGATTTCTGATGTCCCTATCCAACTATAATGTGCCTCTAAAAGAACACAGGGATGCTTGTATAGTTACTGCCATCATGAGGAAGTCCTTCATGCTTTAGATTATGTCAATCAGTGCTAGGCATATGAGCTCAACTTGTAATTTCTCTTTTGTTCCTTTTGTGTTCAAATAAAAGTTTTTTCATCTCCAACATATTTTTCATCTTTTCTTTTGAAACTTCTTCAGCACAGGGACCAACTTCTCTTGACTGAGAAATCTGAAAGCATGCATGGTATATTCTGTATTAAATTTAATTATTTAGATAGTTACTTTTTTTTTTTTTTTTTTCTTTTTTCTTTTTTCTTTTTTTCTTTTAAATTTACTACAGATTTCTGTCCTGGTGACTCAGATATCCGGCCAGAAATATATAAAAAGTTAACATTTCACTTACAACATAAAACATTTAGTTTGTTCTGCTTTTTAAACAGCATAAAATCTGACAGGTTTGGATTTAGCTTTCTATCAGATTCTTTCTGTTGAAATAAGCAATAAAGGCCTATTAACGTATCAGTTTTTAAGTTGACTAACAGGTGTTAATTCACAAAGCCCAAAAGGGTCTTATACACTGAACTTCATGTACTGGTCTATAAGTAATTATGTTACACATGGGACTCCCTTATATTGAACTCTGTACTATGCGCAACTAAAGCTTGTCTCTGAGAAAGCTTGTCTCCATTTGTGCTGTAAAGACTATAGGTCCAAACCAACGTCACTAGACATTACTTCAATAATTCTCATCCCCATATAACTGTTTTTTTCACTTTTCAGATTGTCTCAATTTGTCAGTACCAGCTTTTCTCTCTGATTCTCGCTTTTTCTTGGGTAGTTGCAGAATCCCCATTTCAATACCTTCAAAGAAGGGAGTTCAGATGTTGCTGAAACACTTCTTAGTCTTATTTTTTTCAGTTTGTTTTGCTTTTTTTCTTTCTTTCTTTGGTTACCTTTTTCCACAATGAAGTGAGTAGATACAGATTTTTGAAGGTCTTTCAACAAGTTATTTTCTTCACTCTTTGAATTCTTTCTTTGGAACTTTTTGTGACTCTTCCAAGTTTCTCAAAATCTTTTCAAACATGGATTATCACAGTGTGTTTCCATCTCCTCAGTGCTCTAAATGTTCCTATTTACTTCTGTTCCTATTCATACCTCTCCTTTTACATACATATGATTGCATTAGACCTCTTCATGGAAATTTCAGTTGAATTGCCTGTCTGTTCCATGCTTCAAGCTGGAGCCACAGTCCACCTTTATTAGACTTGGACAAGCCTTATAATGGAAACATAATAGAAAATAAGTATTTTGCTTTCAGTTTCTGCTTGGTTTCTCTGACTTTATTTTTCATAGCTGGCATTCTCCTGGTATTCCAATTTAAAAAAAAAAAAAAACAACAAAACAAACAAAACAGCGATCCACTATTTTTTTTTTTTAATCAATTGTTTTAGTATGTTTGATCAGGTTAATAAAGCCTGCTCATTTAGGAATATTTCTCCCAGATATGTGATTTTTAATATTCTTTTATGTTAATAATATAATAGAAAGTACTTTACTATTGTTAGGTAATAAAGAGAAAATCCTGTTTATACTTAAATATAGAGAGAAACATTTGTCTCATTTAATACTTTGTTCTAAACTGGGGATCCTGCACTACGCTGAGATTTTTCCTGCTCATAATGCACATTTAAAATGTATTGTTCATCTGCTTTTTATTTTCTGATCTCTCTTTCTTTCTTCTTTTTTCCCCCCTCTGTTATGTCAGTTTTTTTCAGAACTAAATTTCTCATTTAAATGGGTTGCTTTGGATGTACATCTTTCTCACTCCTAACTGGTAAAGCCTCTCCACTATTAGTGGACTTCTCTCTTATATAGTGTAGTTATTGGGCTATCAGACGAATTCTTTATACAGGACAGTTAAATTCATATTTTAAAAGCTGATGGTTTATCTCCCTCATTTATGGTCAATGTTGACTTTATTGTTTTCATATATACTTTGAGAAATTTGTTCTCTGGAGGTGTCAGATTTTCTTTAAGGCTGCTCTCAACTTGCTGTTTTTTTAACATTACCTAGTTATCATTTGTTAGTCCATAAGTAAGAATGATCTTCCTCTGAAATGATTAATTTACTGTTTTCACCACAATTCACACATAGTGGTGCCTTTTGTATTGGAAAATTCAGTCCCATTGAACTTTACATCTTCAATTACAGATTTTTCTTTTCTATTTAGAGATATTCTTGAGTTTTAAACTCCTCCTTGAACGAAATTATCTTCAGAACAAAAACTTCTATGCTTTCTGTTGCTATTGCTGCTCATAATTTTGAGAGTGAATGAAACTGGGACACTTTTAAAATAATTGGAATATTACTTTCAGCTGTGAAGCGATGTTTATAATGTTTTGGCCCTTCTGTTTAGGTTGGCTTGTTTGAACATCTTCGAACTAATGCAAAGAGCATCTGCAAGTAGGATATAAATAACTAATCCAAATAAAACAGGTTTTCATAGGCTCTTTCCTCATTTCACCTCATAATATAGTAAATGCTATTTTGGTAAGATAGATTCCCCAGAGAAAAAACAGATTAGTCCTTCATTCTCTGGAGATTTATATGGTATTGCGTTTAAGCAGCGGGGGCTGCAGCGGTGGCTTCTGGGAGATGAGAAGCTACCCCAAGTTGGACACAGACAGTTCCATTTGGCTCCAGAAGTGAGGATAGCAATGACCAATGCAATGTACATCAAAATTTTATGTGCAAAATTCTTAACTTTGTTTCCTGTAAATAGATGCTTATTTGTTACTTTTTTATTTGACTTACATGAAGGCTTTGCAAGCATGATCATTCTCTACATTCTTTAAAATGAAGCAAAATTACTTTCTTGGTGAAATCAGCATAGGTTTCTTTCTTCCCTAAAATGAGTAAAAGTATTTGTAACTCTACAACTAATTTGCTGAGTCTAAGTTATGTTGAGCATCTTGCTTATCAGTAGTTTACATATTCTTAAATGTAATCTGTGTGTTGCTAAGAAAAAAAAATAGATAAGGCAGATAAAAATACTCTGAGAGAAACTTATCCATAGTAAGTTTATGTAGACAATGCATCTAATTGGGAGTTGTATAAGGGACAGCATATCCAGTTGTTTACTTCCTCTTTTGTTTCGGTTTGCGGTATCACTGTGTTTTCCAAATATAACAAAGAATCTATGGCAGCATTACATTTCACTTGTTGCTTGTTCAATCCATAATGTTTGATATATATTAAATGTATCTATGTAAATTTGTAATCTGTGCTGAATCTCACTTGCAAAATTGTTAATAAAGCTGTGTTCTTTGTGACTGAACATTTACAATTGTGTAGAAAATAAGACCAAAAAGAATTAAGAACTATCAACACGCCATCTGAACTGCAAAAATTCTTCTGAACATTTAGATGTCTGTGAATATGGACAGCTCCAAGACTTTGGAGCTTCCAGTATTTTCTAATATAAATTAGTGAAGTATTTGGCTGTCAGCACTTGCAGCAAACTATAATAGTTGTCTCTCCTTTGAGCTGCTGACAGCGCTGCCTCCTAGTTTGTAAAGTGAAATTATGTTGTTTCACAAGAAGTACACAAATTAGAAAAGTAAAATGGCTGATTTTAGTCTCTGCATCCTACAGTTTAGTTCTTCGCCAGATAGTCCCACGACTTGTTCCCAACTTCCCAGCTCCCAGATTAGCTCAGTTCCCTTATTTCCACCTGTGTTCTACATAGGAGGTGGGATATGACAAAAGTCACTGATATATGTAATTCACTTCTTTTAAGCCCAGTAAACTAATTAACTAGCTAGAGATTGATTTCTTTTTTTTTTTTTCCAAGGCGAATTACAATTCTGTGATGAAAAGTGAAGTACTGCCTAGGACATATTTCTTATTTCTTTTTCCCATTTTCCTTTTCTGTATTCTTATCTGTATTTGTTGACACCTTTTCCTCTTCATGTTTCCTTTTCCTTTCCTCCATGGTATGCCCTTCACATTGCAGAGATCTGGAGGTGACCTCAACTATGACCACATTCACAGTTTTCTGCTTGTTTTGCTAATAACCTAACTTGGTGTCATTACAGGCCACGGCATCTGTTCATGCGGCCGATGTGTTTGCCAGGAAGGGTGGTTTGGAAAGTTGTGCCAGTATTCAAGGAAGTGCAACATAACAGAAGAGGAGAGCAGAAGTCTCTGCGAGTCTGCGGATGGTGTATTATGCTCAGGAAAGGGTAAGGACTGACAGCTTATCTTCTCCACAGCAGTGCCCTTGCAGAAGAAATGGTCAGGTTCTGGCAGACTAATGTGCATGAAATTGGGCTGTTGTTTAGTAACTCTTTCAAAGGCACCTGTTATTATAAGAATTTACATTTGGCTCCGTAATGCACTTACATCCATTTTGTCAAACACCCACTGCAGCCATACATGCTTAATGGCATTAACGTTCTATGCAGTTTGTTAATAGCTTATAATTCCCTTCATCTGTTTATCTGATGCTTTGCATTAAGCAGCTGTACATTATAAACCAAATGTTAGCACTCCATCTAGTCTTAGGGATAGAATGCTACGTGCAGTAACACTGCAGTGGGCAAGATGGAAAATGTAATATCTCAGGCAAAAATAAGTTGAGGATAGAACTTAGCAGCAACATTCGGTATGCTCAATCTCCCTTTGCCAGTGCAACAGCAAATGAAAGGTAGATATTGGTGGTCCCCATGGCAGAATCCAACACATTCTCTTATCTCCTAACTTTTATTAAGGTGGTTATGTCAGCTTCAGTCCAGCTATAAAAATTTGCCAGAGGGAGAAATAAAATTTTAAAAATCCTGATAATTAAGTCAAATTGTTCTCTGAGGTTCTTACCCTGCAGTCTTTCAGGATGGCTAATTGCATTACTGAAAGGAGGGTTTCTTTGCCCCCTTTAGTGCAAGCTGTCTCTTTTTAAAATGTAACATAGCTAAAAGAGAAGAGATGGTAAATGGGTGGTGAGATTAGCTGGAGGCTGGAACGCTCCCACTCGGAGATGGATGTGCCATCTCCTCTTTCCATACATCCACTGCATCAACAATGATCATCTTACCTGTTAACTGGAGAAAACAGCTAAGAACCTTCTACATCAGGCAGAATTTAAATTGCCCTTTCTGGTAACTTTTATGTGTATATGGATATGGATTTTTCAGCCTGATCTTCAACTTGTTTATGGCTTACCCAAATTCCTCCCTGTTGTACAATTTTTTTTTTTTTTTTTTTAAATTTATTTATTTATTTATTTATTTATTTCACTAAAGTTGGTGCAAAGTCATGGAATAGGAGAAAGTTGTGGTGTTTCAGTATTACTTCTAGAGAATGTAATTATCTATCTTTAAATTAGGGTACATGAAAGAGAATACTGAGTTTCTGCAGGAATGAAATTACTCTGTTGTAATACAGAAGCTAACTTTGCTCCTCATTGGCATGGTCTCCCTGTGATTCTTTATATAAACTGTGAAGATGAGCAATAAAATACACAATATCAGATTCTAAATAAAAGTGAAAATTAAAGATGATGTTGAATTTTAAAATATTTGCATTATCTGCTGCCTTTCGGGTGGCTGAAAATTGCTTTTTCCAGCCTGTGGGTTTTTCTCCATCAACAAGTAACTTTGAACTAATATATAAGGGCATATGTCAAAGTAAATTTTAGGCTTTGGGAACAAATCACCTGGCAGGAACTTGCAGAGAGATCAAGAATCTTTTCTCCCTCTCTGTTGGCTAGAGGTTTGGGATCTTGTAACTGGTATAGTCTGAAGTGTTCTGGAAGTTGCCATGAGCTGTGAAAGTGCTTTTAAACTTGTCTTCATTAATATAGGGAAGAAAGGTCCTGATTTGCTACAGTTTTAGTTCACTGTTGAACATTATTTTCTATAGGAGTTAAAATTCTGCCCCTAAATCCATGTTCAGGAATGCTAGTAGGATTTTTTTCCTAAGTTTTTTCGACCACAGTTTCCAATGTGATGGAAAGTGTCCCTCAGGGCAGCCAATATAATGAACTTGTGCCAAATTAGGTGCTAAAGTAACATTATTGTGGAAACATCTGGGCACAAACAAGTGCTTGCTCCAGCAAAGAAATATCAGTATATGTCAGATAACTTACAGAAGTGCATGGCTGGCAAATATCCAAGGGGTAAATCGCAGTACTTAGACAAGCGCTAATTTAGGCACAGGTATTTTTTTCTTAGATACTTCAGACATGGGCAGTGGGATTAAGTGTATCCACAGAAAGTCTGCAAATCACACCAAGCTGAGAGGTGCAGTTGATATGCTAGGAAGAAGGAATGCTATCCAGAGGAACCTGGGCAGGCTTGAAAGATGGGCTTACACCAACCTTATAAAGTTCAACAAGGCCAAGTGCAAGGTCCTGCATGTGGACCAGGGCAATCTCAAACACAGATACAAGTTGGGAGGAGAATTAGCTTGAGAGCAGCCCTGAGGAGAAGGATATGGGGCTGCTGGTTGATGAAAGACTCAACATGAGCAGTCAGTGTGTGCCCCTCTGCTCTTGTAAGACCCCAACTGGAGTACTGCATCCAGTTCCAGGGCCCCCAACAGGACATCGAGCTGTTGGAACAGGTCTAGAAGAGGGCCACGAAGATGATCAGAGGGTTGGAACACTTTCCCTATGACGACAGGCTGAGAGAGCTGGGGCTCTTCAGCCTGAAGGAGAAACAGCTCCAGGGCACCTCATAGCAGCCTACCAATACCTGAAGGGGGCCTATAGGAAAGTTGAGGAGGTACTTTTTAAAAGGCCGTGTAACAACAGAACAACAGAAAATGGTTTTAAATTGGAAGAGAGTAGATTTAGACTAGATATTAGGAAGAAATTCCTAATGTGAGAGTGGTGAGACACTGAAACAGGTTGCCCGGAAAAGTTGTGGATGTCCCCTTGCTGGAAGCATTCAAGGCCAGACTGGATGGGACTTTGAGCAATCTGGTCTAGAGGGAGATATCCCTGCCTAGAGCAGGAGAGTTAGAGATAGATGACCTTGGAGGTCCCTTCCAACCCAAACCATTCTATGATTTTGTGATTTTGTGACTATGACTTGGGGAATGATCTATTTCCCTTAAAGATGGTGCTTGTGTTTCTTGTGAAAGATGAGAGAGTTTTAGTGACTTGGAGCACTGATCAAATCTATCTAACTGATGGTTATGGGACGCTCCCTCAAGGGAGAAAAAGTCTCTGCGTAGGATCCTAAAGCTTGTATTCTAGGTGAGGTGAGATAAAGCAGGCAGCACTTTCACATCCACTAGAATGAAGTTATGAAGAAGGCTACTATCTCTTGTGTCTCTGAGTGGGAAGGGAATCATAGGCAAAGAGAGACAAATTTCTCAAAACTTTTGTTTGTGTGCTCTTATTATTATTACGTTATTAATATTCAGGCAAATCTATTCTTGATATTTAAAAATGTGCCTGGAAATCATGCCTTACTGAGTGAACATAGTTTAAAATGTTCATAACTCGTGTGACCGGCTATGTCCAGAGGCCAAAAATGAGAAATTGTTCCTTCTTTTTCAGTGCATTAAGCAGTATGTAACCAAAACTGGTCAAAGAGAGAATGTAGAACATGTACTAATGAATTCTTTCGGGGTTTGTTATTTCCATCCTTGCTGGAAACCTAGCCAAAATAATGAAGAGCTATAATGGATTGAGGAAGCTTGAACTTCTGTATGTCGCATTTAATAGTCTAAGGAGTTCTGGTTTTTAGTAGATAAGTGCTGAAAACTTTCAGAAAATTAAACTCTGTTAATATAAGCAAAGTTGAGTTCCTAGGCTACTTTGAAAAACTTGGCTCACTGACTATGCCACCTGTAGCAAAAGCTCTTCCCAAGGAAAACAGCAACATGCACCATGCTGCTGCCTCCCTGGCAGAAAATACAGGGCTGCAGATGGCTACTGCAGTGGTGCAGGGCGCAGGTGAGGTAATGAGCCAAATCCCATCCGAGAGGATCTGGCTGGGATCCCAGGAAACACCCCGCAACTCATTAGGCTCGTTTTAATTAAACTGAGGAGGCTCCCAGAGCAGCATTCTGTTTAGGGAAAATACTCGATACATAACAAATTTTACCTCATGGAGCCTGATCTTCCTTGCTTGATTTGGCATTAAATTTGCTGTATCTTCTGTACATCATGAACATTCATCAGGAGCAGCATCAGTGACTGCTTATGCAGAATCATTTCAGGTTTCTAACAATGCCATGATTTTATTAACTATTTTAATGTCACAAAAATTCTCATACTGTTCCATGTGATTTTCAGCTGTTTGTTCCTTCTCACTTTAATAAGCATAGACATCTACTTTAAATGACACTCAAGTACGTCTTAGGAAAGCTCCTATAGAGCAACTGGACAGTATGTATGCAATTCTCCATTGCCTATTTGTATAATGGCAATTTTTATTCTTGTAGGAAATGTCAGTCTTTTTCATGTCAGTGGCACAGTAGGCAATGCACACTGAACTTACAGAAAAAGTAGATGCTTAACCAAATACTTCCATTCCCAAATGTTCCAAACATTAATTGTTCCTGGACATGTTTACACATTCCATATGTTACAAGTTAAAACAACATTTCTCTAAAATTTGACAGGGATCTTTTCTTCCAATAAACAATGTAAATTAATTATATTTTTAAATGAAAAAAATAAAAGATTTTCTGCTCTGTAGTTTTAAAAAATTAAGGTTCAACAGAGATCCTTTGGTGAGTAAGGAAAAGAAATGAGGAAAATTAGTTGACATAAACAGATCCACATTTAAGGAAAAATAATATATACTTGATTTTTTACCATGGATTTTATTCAGAGGTCAGTCAAAAGAAATGAAAGATGGTTCAGCTCCTTTTAATTATCCATGAACTCTGTTTGTTACATATTGACAGAATCAAGCTTCCCTCTCTCTTTTTTTTTTTTTTAATAATACATTGAAGAAATTGGTGCCTTTGTACTCTAACTGTGTTGGAAATATTGCAGGAAGGAGCAATTTTCAACATCATCTAACTCATTTATAAGCACGTTCTGTTAAAGGTTAGCAGCTTTTGTAACTTTAAACTCAATTTTCCATAATTATAAGGTGTAAGTGTATTTTTTTGTTGTTGTTGTTTATTTTTCAGTTTGCTTTGTGCTGCAACTTCCTGTAATTACTATCTCCACACAGTGTTTTCCCTCTGCAATTTCTAAACTCCTCATCTTGGCACTTAAGTGTTCTGAAGTCTGTGTAGAAAAGGAGATTCAGACAGCTGGGGATTGTCTCCATAAAAGCCATCTTTCTTCAGCCGAGTGTTGTAATTGGCCAGGTGGAATTTCTAGTTGCAGAATTCCAGTGGAGCCTCTCAGTACAGAAAAGCTCCCAAAGACTCTTCTCAAACTACAGGCTTCCCAATACACATTTGTCTGGTGGCAATTGTCCTTTTTCAGGACTCAGAGCCATGAATTTTCTCTTGATGATTGTGGTGTCTGAATTTTTCCTTAAAGGGAAGTTTTCGGTTCCACCCCGCTTCTAGGTGGATTATGGGTGGTATAACCTAGATGTCACTGAAGAGTCTTTCCTTTGGCTGTGGAGGTGCAATCTGTTACGCAGGAGCTCTGGATTCAACCTCCAACATCTCCACTCTTTTTGGTTTGGATATTAGGAAGAAACTTCACAGAAATATTTGTGACGCACTGGCACAGGCTGACCAGGAAACTGGTGGACTTACCATCCCTGAAGGCTCAAGAAACATTTAGATGCAGCACTGAGGGACATGGTCAGTGGGCATGGTGGACTAGATGACCTTAGTGGTCTTTTCCAACCTTAGAGACCAACCTGCAGGAGTAAGCAAACTGCTGAACCACAGTTATGTGCACAAATACTTTTTGGCATAGAGCAAAAATTGATGGAGGTTTTGGGGGTTCAAATGTCCATAGGAAACATCCCTAAGGACTTTGGATGAGGAGTAACAGTGGCTCAGAGACAATTTGAGCCTCTCCCGTCCAAAAAAAAAAAAAAAAAAAAAAAAAAAAAAGAAATAAAGAAAGAAAAAAAAGAACAGTTTATGTGGAAAGTGGCCCTGATTGTAGATCTGAAGGAAATCTTCGAAGTGTGAGTCCTGATTAAATGAAATAGCAGAATCAAAGCATTAGCAGAAACGTTTTGCCATTCTCATGGTCACTTTGAAAGAATCCTTTTATTCAAAAAGCTTTTAGCTTGATTATTTTCTTTCATACAGTAGTTTCTCAGGCAGTAATTTTGTGCATGCATCTGTGTGTGTGCACGTACGACTGGAGATGTTATTTTCTAGCCTGAAAATGACGATGCTCCTGGACTGTAAGTAATAATCTTTGTGATTTCAGGTTCCTGTCACTGTGGAAAGTGCATCTGTTCACCACAGGAATGGTACATTTCAGGTGATTTTTGTGAATGTGATGACCGAGACTGCGACAAACACGATGGTCTCATTTGCACAGGTGCGGTACAGGCTAACTCTTAATTGCTGTAAGAAGCAAGCTGTATGATGAGAATTGTGTTAGACAAAGCCCATCTTCTTTCTCCACTTATGGAGGAACTGCATTTTCAGATTATTCAGACCCAGTGTAATTGTTTCTTTATGCAGTATGATAATCAACTTAAGGTTTCAAATCAACAGTAGAAAGTCTGAGTGTGAATTTGAGTAAGCAAACAAGATATGAAATCCATTGACTATTTTCATTGTAGTAGATCACAATTTATTCCTCTTTGCCAAAGAATGTACAGTGGAAGAGCTGCCATCACGAGATTTCTTCAAATTTAAATTTTCTCGGTGTGTAATATATTTAAGTAATAGAAAACATTCACTTGCTTGATGATCTTTGTTAGATGAGAGGTATAGCTATGTTGGGCAATCATAGCTCTCAGTGGGAGGCTAAAATACCTGACAGTTTTTCTCATGGTGTGATGGCCACTGATTAAAGCAGATTCACCCAAACACTGTCCAAGTGGTTGGGTGGCAGATGCAAAGAGACATGGGCAGGCTGCCAGCAAACTCTCATGACAGCTCTTGTGACAAGTAGCAACATGGGAATCATTAAATTAACTTGCTGGCTACTTCCTGTTACAAATCTTAATTTTAGAAAACCTTTGCTGAGCAATTATTAGATGTGGAAGGAATCCGTGAGATAATTAGAGTCAGAGCAAGCAGGTTGACACTAGTAATGCTGTTCACAAATGCTGGCTCCCAGCTCACCCAATTAGCAAGTGGCCTTTTCTGGGGCAAGTAGCCAGTACAGAGGCAACAGGGTCCTGAGCTGAAAGTCATTCACAGGCCTTCATAAAGTTGATATCAAAAGCAGCACACAGTGGAAACCCAGGATGTACAAGTCTCTGGCTGAGCATCCTGGAGTCATGAAAAACACTGAAATAAATTGAAAACCTGGGTCTCAGTACTTAGTGTTTCTATCTGCAAAACAAGATAAATGCATTTCTCATCTAATAGTGAGCTTGAGATATTATTTACTTGTTCAGCATTTCTGAGAATTTTGGCTTAAAGATTATTAGGTTCAAATGTTTATTACTGTTCTGTTTTAAACTTTTTATCTCCACATTCCTAGTTAAATGTAATTATCTTTTTTTTTTTTTCTTGTACATTAAAGTACAGTGTGAACAGTGAGTTTCAACAACTGAGTGCAAGTAGTAGTAGCATAATTATAGTACTTGCAATTCTGCTGATGAAAGAATGCTATTAATTCTTCATAAGTGTAGTCCTGAGGTGGCTTCTTAATGCAACAACACAGTAATTATGCTTCCTTGCAAAAAAATAAAAAATAAAATAGGTAGGGGAATGATAAAGAAACAATGCAGCTACTTTATCATGGTTTTTACTTCCCACAAGACACATTTTAATGTAGCACATTTCAATTATGATAATTGCCATTTATTCATTCTGTTCTAGGTAACGGTGTTTGTAACTGTGGAAACTGCGAGTGCTGGGAAGGATGGAATGGAAACGCTTGTGAAATCTGGCTGGGAACAGAATACCCTTAACAAAGGACACCAGAGACTGAGGGTTCTTCTAGTTTGATTTTTCTTTAGGCTGCTAGAACATTTAATTTTGGAAGTACTCAGAGTGTGGGTGTGGGTGTGCATGGTTGTAAATACTCTGGAACTGTCATGTGAATGCCAGCTCCTTAGAGAAATGAATAGCAAAACAAAACAAAAACAATAACAAGAACAAACAAATCATTTGGGAGCAGGACAGCACAAGCTCTAAAAACTAAAATCATTTAAAAAAAAATGGCCCTCCACATTTTTTTGATAACTTCAGTGAGGCTGAGATTGCTCCCATTATGTCTGTTTCTTAAGCAATCTTTGCGCAAAATGAAAGTCATTTGTTTTTACATTATACGTTCAGTTTTCAAATCTCCATATCAATATGCAACAGTATTCCTGTAGAAGAATAGCACTACAAGTATTTGTCAGGTACTTCATTTGATATATTTTATGGAGTTTGTCAAAAACATTGTTTGACTCTTTTCTTTCCAAACATCCAGATTATGCCCCAGCTCCAGAAGAAGCATTAAAGCAATTTATCAAGTTTTTGTTTGTTTGTTTGTTTGATTGATTTTTTGGTCAAAGAATTGAGAATTGAATCTGTGTAACTGACGTTCCATTACCCCACAGCCATTGGCTGAAGACTCAAAATGTTTGAAGAGATCCTTGTCCACAAGATAACTTCTGATTTTCTATGGTTAAAGAGTCAATAACTCGGTTATCCATTTTAACATTCTACAATACAGCCAAATGCATAACCTATAGAAGTATAAGGAATTAAACTAATAAATGTATGATTAGCTATTCCAAATATGTATCCTGCCACTCATATGTACTTTTCTCATACTGTTTTATATATGTATAGTTGCCTAGTCCTCTTGAAAGTAAAGCAATGAAAATTTCTTGTACTAATAACTTTTAGGATGACAACTCTGTATGCTATCAGAAATCACTGTTTGGAACAGATTGCACTGTCACATATGGTCTTCACCGAATTTCACTGTTTTCAAAGTCAGAGGCCTGAAGGTCAACTGACTTGAAAAGTCAGCGGATGCTGGGGAGTAGCCGGGTCACAGCCAAAGAAGCTCAAACAATGACAATAAAGTAATTAAAGTTTTAATACAATAAATACAAACAAAGCACTGGTATGAACAAAATTTTATTTTTATTTTTCCAATGGTGAAATGCTGCTCAGTGTGAAATTCACATTGAGTTATGAAAGATGCACAACTATTGGGACTTCCCTAACTTATTTACATATGAGTCTCTCTCTTTTTTTTTTTTTTTTTTTTTTTTTTAAATACATGTAGATTTGGCAGCCCTTTTAATTTCTTAGAGCAAAAAAAAAAATACATACATTTTAATTTCAAAAATGCTTATATTTTGTGAAATCATGATCGAGCAAGAAATTGCTTAAAAGTTTGGAAAGCATTTATTTTTAATATCAAACTAACATTGTGGTTTAGGTGCTGAGGTTCTGATTTTTTGATAACTTCAAAACTCAGTACATAACTCAGAAATAAGGGAACTATGTATCAACTGAAAAGGCATTTTCATTATTATTCTAGAAATCTGTTTTCTTTTAGAAAGAACAATTTTGAAATAGCAAAATACACTGGTACAGAATACATAACAGAATGCTAATTTTTTTAAAATGAATTTATATAACCATTTTCATTATTGCCTCTTCCCATGTAGCTTTATTTTTCCCATATTTTTCCTTAACCTAGATTCTTCCTTTCTAAAACTGAAGCTTGTGAAATCTATGTTCTCAGGGTGGCACAGTATAATCACCAAACATTTATGCATAACTTATATAGGAGTTATGCACAGAAATACTGGGTCACATACTCCAGAGCAGTGAATTACCTTCTTTCTAGGTAGCCAAAATGTCAGATAAAAGTATATTGATACAATATTGCAGAACTTCAAAGTAAAATTAATATTGAAACAATTACTTAGAATTTATACTTATAACCCTTATAACCCTAAATAACCCTGAACAGGAATATTCAGAATTAAATTCTAACAAAATTTAATCTTGTCAGCCCTGCTGCCTGGACAGCATGGATTGTTGGGTTTGTATTTAGGAGTATTGCGTACCTGAATACTCTTACAGTCTGCCCTTTTTCCACATATACGTTCATCTGCTGAGTCAGAGAGTAAATAATGAAAAATACAGAAAGTTGTACTTTATTTCCTTCCATTCATATTTGGTACTGTAACAACAGAAATATTAGATAATCAAAACTCTTCTTCAGACTCAGCAGATGTTTTTTATCTGTTTTCTGGTATGACAAACACATTTGTACATACTGTAGATTAGCTTTGGCATTCCAGGCACTTGTATCCAGACAAAGAAATAATTCTTTAGAGGGTTACAGCATCCTATTTGATGCATTTTACTTTGTAGTTTTCTTTCATTTCAAATTTATATACTTAAGAAGGTTTAGATGAATCTTTCTTACAGTTTAATTTAGTTTAATTTTGGTTTAAAAATGGACTTTAACATTTTGGCTACTAAGTGGGTTCCACAGCCATAGAATTTCAAAAAGTATTTTCCACATTTTTCTTAAGGTACATATGGAAAAATATCAGCAAGTTCTAAGACAACTACCATCAGTGGCTAATTAAAATGTAAGTTATCAAATCAAATGGTGCTATCGTTATAAACCTTATGTTTTCTAAGACTACTAAAAATGTAATGAATACATATTTTCCTCTCCGCTTTTTATTCTGTTTCTTATATTGTTGCCTGAACACTTCCCCAGTCCCCTTCATGCTGAGGTAACTGGAGATGGGGCTTTTAGCCAGTCTCTTCTTCGTCTTGTTTCCTCCCTAGGAAAATGAATATGGAAGGAATACAACTATTTCTCTGTGTAAGTGTAAAAAACAGTGGATTAACAAATTGTGATTTTGTTACACCCATTCCCCATGACAGGAATTCCAGATACATAAACAGTAAAGTCAGGAAGAGGCACAAGGGATTGAAACATACTGGCTGGATAATTGCATGAAGCTGTAAAAGCTTGCTTCCAAGGCCTGTGGAAAACAGCGTTTGTAAGTGCTGAAAACAAACTGGATAGATGGGGATTTCATAACAGCTGGGTTGATGAAGCTTAAAACAAAAGATATGCTAACCTTGCTTTCTTGTGATAGAAAGAACAAAACCCAGAATGACACAGAACTCCTCTACAGGTGACTTGCAGGAGTATGCCTATTTTGCATAGCATCAGTAAAATCATTTCTAAAACAGCCATAGATTCATTTACTTCTGTAAATTATTCACCCCCTCTTGATCCCTTTTTTCCCCCTTGGCCAAACGCTCTTACAGAAACGCACAGATGAACATTACCCACTCTGATATTTCTGATGTGCTGCCCTTGTTTCCTGACAGAACAACATCTCACTTTGTAACTAAATGGCACTGGGATGAAAAATCTGAGTATTTTTGTCTCCAGGTAATAGAAGGAAGATTTTACTGCATCTTTAAAAATAAGTCATAGGATTTGGATGAGTCACAAAAACAAACCCAACACACACAAAAACCTGTTATTAGGTGTTTTAAAATACATTGCACAGCATATGAGTTTATCCAACAGGAAATTTATAAGATAACCTCCTTACTTCATCTAGTTTCACTTGCATTCCCATCTGAATGGAGTTGAATAATATCTTATTTGTACCAATAAATGGATGGTTCAGCAAGACACACTTTTAATGTATGGACCAAACTGCCTGCATTCATACTTCACCATTACAGTGGTCTTAAACCAAGGGGAAAGTTTCCCCATGTACGTATGAAAAGCTGGAATTCTTAGTGTTGTTTCAGGTAAATACCAAAGTCAAATAGAATTGCTTTACATTTATATTTAGGGTTGTTTGTTAAGGATCAGCCTGACTCTACACACATTAAATTTATGAAAACAATTCTAAATTAAAAACTATGATTTGAGAGCAACTAAAAATAAAACCAGCACTTAGAGGAACATCTGTGCATGTGTACTACAAAAAAAATTTGAAAGCTATAGACACCTTTTTATAGGCTCTACAGTGTGAACAATCTTTTAAATACACAAATGCCTGTGTATTTATAAAATTTTTGAAGTACAACAGATCAGTGCTATGCTGAACTGAATTTTTGAAACTGCACAGGTGTGACTGGTTTTGCCAAATAAAACCTTAGCTGAAATACAGATTAAAAAATGTAAAGAGATGTATGAATAACGTTAACATATCTGTCCACTATGGAATTGTGAGATGAAGTTAGATTGCACTGCAAACAGTATCTGTGAGAGTAGCTACAACCCAGAAGGAGAACAAAATACAAAGCAAGCGTGCAAAGGATCTGGAACGCTGCAGATTCACAGACATCTGGACATGTAAGTACAAAACACTCAACTTGTAAATACAAATTGATTCCATCAGGTTTAGCATACAGTATTTTGGTAGTAATAGATAGACAGTTGGAAACAGCTTTCACTTAACAGCAAAATTAATTTTGGAGGGAACAAAATGGTATCATCTCATCCTGGAGAACAGCAAGAGAGGTATCATATTAAAGGAGCTAAAATTTTCTTTGGCACGGTAAAAGGGGAGAATTGAGTTTGCCAAAATATTTACATAAAGTTTCACCATACTGTGGCCAGTGCAATCATGTTTTGCACAGTCTACTTCTTACATAAACTTTTTTGTTGTTTTTCAGTATGCCTTCATATAAATGTTTTATTCATCATGTTCAATCTGTGTATACAACAAATAATAATAAAGACAAACTGTACAGTGCAGACAAACTCTTTGCATATATGTATGTAAATTCAGTAATACAGATGAACAAGTCTTTGATACACTCAATCTATTACATGCAGTTCATCCTTGCCATCCCCTTCCCATGCAACAGACGAGACAAGACAAAATTAAAAGGAGGAAACAAAGCACAGAAACCCCTTTTCTGTGTTTAAACAGACTGTAGAAAAAGAAATAATTTTTAGGACAATGATTCATTCTATTAAACACACATATGCATTTAATCCACAGAAACAAAAAGAGAAATTAAAAATATTATGTTGCATTTTCAGTATGTATGAACTGCTAATGGAAATAAAATCCAGCCTTAATTGTAGTCCCCTAAACTGCAAATTATAGTTACCTGGCATCAAATAGTACTTATGTAGCTTTAGGCCATAAACCAGAGGCTCCTTGCAAAGCTCAGCCAGCTTTCCAGTCCTGTCTCTCCCTGGGCTCTTAAACCAGCGAGGGTAAATAGACGGCTGGATTGGACATAAACTCTTATTCCCTCCTCAGGAGCTCTTAAAAAATCTAAGTGAGAAAGGGAATGTAGCCTTCAGTTGTATTACCCTACTCAAAATATTTGTGAATCGTTGCTCCTAAGGTACCCAGGAGATAGGACAGCATTAAGGGTACTGCATCCCATGGGCCCTCCAAATGAGAGCAAGCCCACATCACATCATGTGAGTTGCTTTGGTTTTGTTTTCTCAGGTATGATGCACAAATCCCACTGGACCAGGTGGGATGAGAAGTGTGCACCGAGATTTTTACTTTTTCCCACAAGCACATATTCAGTGCTAGCAGACAAGGGCACAGTCAAAGTTGGTTTGCATTTTTTTTATCACAGTAGTGAAGTAGTTTTGCATTATCATTATTATTACTATTATTTACATTCCCTTCCTGGAAAGACCCTAGAATCAAGTGTTAGTTTGCTGTTCTTGTTTCACCTAGATAACCAAGGAAATCTGGCCTACCAAAACAATCCAGAATTTAGCAGCTTTATAGTAGCTTCCTTGAAGAACAACTAAAAGTTGCTTATAAACCACATCTGAAAACTAGCATGGAAAGTTCATTAAGACTGAATAAGTTACTCAGGGGAGCAGATAGGGAGTCTGAAATGACCACTAGTCTATTCCTGTTAGGGACACTTCAGAACAAAGACATGATAAAATGAAATACGAGAAATACAATAGTAAAAAAGGAATGGACAATTTCCTTTTTTTCTTTTTTTTTTTTTTTTTTTTCTTTTTTTAATCTCTAAATATCAGGATAATAGATAGAGGCCAAGAGAGTGCTATCACATACTTCTCCAGACTGAGGCACAGTTTGGTCCTTGTTGCCCTTTCTGAGAAACAAATACCTTCGTAAACATACAGCACCCACAATCCTAGTGTCTGAAAGCACGTGACTAAGTATGTAACATGTCAATGTCATTTCTGTGGTATTGCCTAATTTTTTTTTCCTTGTAAGATTGGTTTTACTGTTCACAAGAGACAAACTTAAAGTGTTGATGGTGTTTCTCATGATATCAGCCAAGGCTTCAATTTTATAATGTTTTTGATTTTGTCTAGGTTCATGTAGAAGTAAGTACAGTATACAGAGATCAAGGCAAGGCACCTTCAATCTATCAATTTGGTGAGGATATTATCCTAGGAAGCTGGGTAGAGGTACGTACTGGAATATCAGTGGGATACATAGGACTGGATTTTGCATGCTTAGCTAAAAATAAAAATAAAGTTTTGTAATATGTCCAGTTGTAAAACTTTTTCTTTTTTTTTTAAAACACCAGAAAAACTATAATTTTTAACTACTCTTTGCATTGGTGCTGCAGAAAAGAACACAACAACATCCTTGCCCATGCTTTGCTAAGTAGGTGTGGAAATCAGCCAAAAATAACAATGGCATTAAGTTCAGTTCCTTAAAAACAGAAAAGGATTATATTCGAAATGGATATAGGTAGCGCAATTCTGGTTAGTCTTAACTGTTTTTTTAATTGGTGGTGGTAGTTTTTCAAACAATGAAGCTTTAGTAGATGAAAAATGAGCCTTAATTCAGGCCTACAAGGCCTACAAAATTCTTTGGACCCACTTTCCCAAAAATGAGTGGGTCTTGCTCGCTGGGCAAGGCAAATGTTACCATTACCAGTAAGCCTGTGACATGTATAAAACACATACACACAAAGAAACTGTAGGGGGATGCCAAACACTCATTCCAGAAAACTTCCTGTTGGTTGTGTTTGACACTCTTCCCTCCACTATAATGCCAACCTCAGAAGCACAGTATCTGTTACTAAAGAGTATTCACATTGATCAGCATTGTAAGCCAGAGACAATGATCCTATTCTTTATAGATATAATTTGTAATTATAGATTTTTGAAGGCTTCCTGATTCCCTGATTACTTTCAAAACTAAGCCACCGGCAACACTTAAAGTTATAGAGAAACACAATCCCTGCAAAAGGTCACAGACAGTGGAGCGAGCAGCCTTATAAAAAAGGGAAGAAGAGAAATCCATAATAGCACAGGTTTACAGCATCTACCTAGAAATTACTTGATTATTTGTGTGCTACAAAATAGAACTTAAACACATGAATTTTGCTGAAACTGGACTCAAAAAAGGATTATGGGTAATCGTCAGCAGGCAAGGTATCAAGTGTACTTGTGAAGTATGTCATTCACATGAAGTGTCACAGTCACAGAAAAGATATTAAAAAGGCATTCCAATATCTGGTAGGGCATTCCATGGTCTGAGTTTAGCTGGTTCATCCAGGTGTCTTCTCATTGTGGGTGGAGATACACGTTGAGCTTTATCCGCTTGCAATGATTCAGTTCAGAACCAGCCACGTGCCAGGACGCCACTTGCTGCGAGCTGATCCACAGACACTGCAGAGGGGAAGTCTGGCAAGGATAAATCGCTCAACTGCACTCAGGACTCAGTAAGTCACAACACCTGTGAGGATCTGGCTATGTCGTCTTACTCTTGTTAACTGGTGGTTTGCCGCCATTCATTATTGCAGACGCACTTGTGCTTTTACTTGGAGTTACCCCAGCCTTTGGCACTGTTTCACCAATATCATGCAAAGATGGTTCTCGATACATGGCAACTGAAAGGAGAAAAGAAGGAAAGAGACATTTTAAAGAACATGTTTTATTTAAGAACATGTCCCAAACAGGATTATCTACAGTAACTGATATTTTTTTTTGCCCCATCCCTGGAGGCATTCAAGGCCAGGCTGGATGTGGCTCTGGGTAGCTTGCTCTAGTGGTTAGCGACCCTGCACATAGCAGAGGGATTGAAATTCAATGATCATTGTGGTCCTTTTCAACCCAGGCCATTCTATGATTCTATGATTATATGATTCTAATATACTCCATGTTTCTCTTGCATGATGGGAAACTATTTAGTTTCACAGCTACTTTGCATGACTGATATCTTTGCTAGACCCTCTGAACTTCCCACTTCTACCATATCTGTCTTTAAAAAGCAGGAAACTGTATGCTCACCTGTTTAAAGGAACTTCTGAAACATCAGAAATTAGAAAATACAGTTATGTATTTATATGAGACAGATATGCATATATTTTTATATACTCATTTTATGTATTATCCTTAAAAAAGGTATTTCACGATATTTTAGAAGTAAAATATGAGTTGTCTGGATGCAAGTGCCTTTTTTTTAGCCCTAAATTGCAAGACTGGGCTTCAGTCCAGCTAAGAAAAATTATTTGTACAGCTGGCTCCCAAGTCCAAGAAGCGTGGTTATAACCTGTTCAGGTTACAGCTGAAGAAGTGTTTGGGACTTTTCTGCAGAGTCTACATGAAATTTGAAGGTTTTGCTCTTCCATTTCAAAAAAGCATGCAGTACATACTAAGCTACACTGAATGCAGAGCAGAAAGCTCCAAACTAAACTACTAACTGAATTTTTAGATGAATTAAAAGTTTGCCCCTGGGTTTCATTCCCTGTGTAACCAGTTTAAATCCTTTGAGGGAAATATATGTGTTCAATTACACAGTTCCAGCTTCCTTAATGATTAATACTCTTGGATAATTCAATTCCATTTTCCATGTCAGTGATTCAGGTAATATTTCCAGTTACATCTAACTTCAGTAGCCTTTATTTATATCAGAGCAGTGTTAAAAGAAATATCAAAGCAGTCAAAGGAATTAATCACCACATTGACTTTGGGTTTCGCTCTCTGCTGCCACAGAGCACAAATCTTTAATCACTTGGCTTATTAAAGTCAGAGGCAGGAGCATCAAAGTACTGGCACTGGTCTTCAGTAGCGTGGGGTTTCATAAGAAATATAGAATTTGATAACTGATCAAATACTTGTTCTAACATTTCCAGTAACATAATTTAAATCCTTTTGGCCTATGAAAAGTCTGAAATTAAAGATCTTTTCTGGAGTATCTAAGGCTGATTATGATTTTTGTCTTCAAGGTGAGACCCCAAAAATGTGTTAGGAATGCTTTCCTTTGCTGCTTACCAAAGAACTTGATAAAGTAACACCATGACCTACAAAAATATTAAGTCAAATAGTATGAGATAAAACTACAAGGAGCTATATATCAGAGGTGTAATATTTTAAAATTCTCATAGGCAATGTAAAAAACTTATTCCTATGCCTGGCCTAATATTTTGAAAGCATTTGAGTCCAAACATTAATGAAAATGGTTGTTTCCTTTCTAATCAATGGATGTTTACTTAAAAAATGCACTGGGTCTGACTTATAAAATATCAGTAGTGTTGAAAGCTTGTGAAAATACAAAAACATTGTGAAACAGGGGAAGAACAAAGGCATCATCCTGAATTCAAATTTAAAGTTAAAAATAGTATTGTTCAAAGTTTCACAATAAAGGAGCAATCTAACATTAATAAACTCTCATCCCTTAATCAAAACTTCTAAAGTCAAAATAATTTAAAAACAAAAACAAAAACAAAAACAACAAACAAACAAAAAAACCTGGACTGTTAACTAAAATATTATTAGTGTGTGATTTTAGATGTTAAGTAAGTAGGTAATTTTTAGAATGACTGAGGCTATGTGTAGCAATGATCTCAGTGAAATTTGGAGTGCTGACAGGAGTGATGTCAGAAGGGTGACTACCAAAAGTGCTATCTTGAACTTCAAGAGAGCGGACTTTGACCTGCCCAGGACGCTTGTAGCACGGGTCCCTTGGGAGTCGCTCCTTAAGGGTAAAGGGGTCCAGGAAGCCTGGACGCTCCTCAAGGTGGAAATCTTAAAGGCACAAAAACAGGCTGTCCCTGAATACCGTAAGGCAAGCTGTAGGGGGAGAAGACCGGTGTGGATGAGCCGGGAATTACTGTCAAGACTCAGGAAGAAAAAGAGAGTCTATGTCCTCTGGAAGAAGGGACAGGCTACTAGGGGAGATTACAAGGAAGTTGCTAAGGCATGCAGGGAGGAAGTCCGAAAGGCGAAAGCCCATCTTGAACTTAGATTGGCCACTGCAGTAAAGCAGAATAAGAAATCCTTTTACAAATATATAAATGGCAAGAGAAAAACCAAGGATAATATCTATCCTGTGATTGATGCGGCGGGGAATGTGACCACAGATGACAAGGAGAAGGCTGAGGTCCTCAACGCCTTCTTTACATCTGCCTTTAATAGTCAGACCAGCTATCTTCAGGGCATTTTGTGCCCTGATCTGGATATCTGGGCTGACGTGCAGAATGTCTCCCCGGAGATCAAGGTGGAGACAGTTAGAGAGCTCCTCCTCCATCTGGACAGTCACAAGTCCATGGGACCGGATGGGCTTCATCCTAGGGTGCTGAGGGAGTTGGCGGGGGGTGATTGCCAAGCTGCTCTCAGCTATCTACCAGCGCTCCTGGTTGACTGGAGAGGTTCCAGAGGATTGGAGGCTTGCTGATGTGACGCCCATCTACAAGAAGGGCCGTAAGGAGGACCCGGGGAACTACAGGCCTGTCAGCCTGACATCTGTGCCAGGGAAGGTCATGGAACAAATCCTCCTGGGAGAGATCACACGGGTCGTGCGCGGCATCCATGGGATCAGGCCCAGCCAGCATAGGTTCATGAAAGGCAGGTCGTGTTTGACCAACCTCATCTCCTTCTACGACTGGCTGACCAGACTGGTAGATGAGGGAAAGGCAGTTGATGTAGTCTACCTTGACTTCAGCAAAGCCTTTGACACGGTCTCTTACAGTATCCTTCTGCAGAAACTGGCTACCCGTGGCTTGGACAGTTTTACCCTCCGTTGGATAAGGAACTGGCTGGAGGGCCGTGCTCAACGGGTGGTGGTCAATGGAGTGAAGTCTAGCTGGAGACCTGTTACAAGTGGTGTCCCCCAGGGGTCGGGAATGAGTGGTTGGGTAACTGCGAAGAGGAAAGGAACCTGGGGGTGTTGGTTGATGCTTGGCTGAACATGAGCTGACAGTGTGCCCAGGTGGCCAAGAGGGCCAACGACATCCTGGTTTGCACTAGAAATAGTATGGCCAGCAGGAGCAGTGAGGAGATCATCCCCCTGTACTCAGCACTGGTGAGGCCGCACCTCAAGTACTGTGTTCATTTTTGGGCCCCTCACTACAAGAAAGACATTGAAGCCCTGGAACGTGTCCAAAGAATGGCAACGAAACTGGTGAGGGGTCTGGAGCACAAGTCTTATGAGGAGCAGCTGAGGGAGCTGGGATTGTTCAGTCTGGAGAAGAGGAGGCTCAGGGGAGACCTCATTGCACTCTACAACTTCCTGAAGGGAGGTTGTGGTGCAAAAGGGTCTGGCCTCTTCTCCCAGGCAAATAGTAGAACCAGAGGAGATGGCAAGAAGTTATACCAGAGGAGGTTTAGGTTGGATATTAGGAGAAACTTTTTCTCCCAAAGAGTGGTCAGGCACTGGAATGGTTGCCCAGGGAGGTGGTGGAGTCGCCGTCCCTGGTGGTGTTCAAGAGGCGCCTGGATGAGGAGCTATAAGAGATGGTTTAGTGCTTGTAGTACTAATAGGAATGGGAGGGTGGTTGGACTAGATGATCTTGCAGGTCTTTTCCAACCTTGTGATTCTGTGATTCTGTGATTCTGTGATTCTGTGATTCTGTGACAGGACACAAAAAGTGATGTAGGTTAGAGGTGGCCTGCAGAATAAATAGATCAGTCATAAATAGATCAGTCATAATCCATGAGAAAAGCAAATGTGTTTTCCAAGGAATGTGAGACATCATTTTAGTGCGCAAGGTTAGTACAACTTTTATTTTCATCTATCTTGCTTCAATTGTCAACTTACACAAGTTATATATATTATATCAACTGGCTAAGTAATCAAGTATGATCTGTTCTATAAACAGACCTTTGTGTTTTGCATTAGAAAGCTTTTACCTTGAAATACACTTCATCCATTCCATTTATAACTCTCAATTATCCCACAATGTCCAATTTTTCATTCTGATTGGAAGACTCACAACACTTTTTGCTGCTAGCAAGATAATATCCTAAAGGTGATAGAATACATATCCACAAAAGATTTCTTCTCTTGTAAAATGACCTCCTAATCTCTTCAAATAATATTTTTAAATATGCCCTTTCTAGCATCAATATGCCAAAGCACAAAACTGCTCCATGAATCCTGGGGACTGTCATTTGGAATGGCTTCTGTGCATGGAACACACATTCACAAAGGTTATTTGGTTATTTTAGAAACAATTCCCTTTTCTTTCCCTGAGATTTATAGGAAGATCTGCCAGTGATGGACTACATCTCACCTTCCAATGGCTTGGGTAGAAAATGAGCTGCTGGTTTTGTTTTCTTGACTCTATTTCCTTTCATGACTTGCCCTTCCTTGTTCAGACCTAAGAACCAGGCCCTTCCGGACTCCTGTTGTCTGTAGAGCATGGATGAGTAGATTACATAATAATTTTCAAAAACAGACTCCTTGAATTTGCACTCCGGTGTAAAAAGTTCCTGTGGGAGAAAAAGTAAGTGTTAAGTGGTATCTCTGAAGTGCTGCATCTGTTTTGACAATTCACAAACACCTTTAGATTAATTTAATATATGACTTATAGTTAGGTTCCGTTTTGAGACCAGAAAATCTATCTTCCTATAGCTGACCTCCAGGTGAATTTATTTCACCTCTCACCTCTTCTCTTTCCCTATCTTGCAAAAAGGATAGTATATTTTGAAAGTACAGAAGAGACTACAACCATAAAAACACTTAAAAATGCAGGCATAATTATTCTCATGTTTTTCTGAAAGATTATCCTTGTTTTTCTTGAATTAGAATGTCTGTGCTAAAAAAAAACATATTGATGATAAAAGTATTTTTCAGTTTCAACATGCTTGGTAGATGTAATAAAAGCAATAAACTTCCTCTGCGTATGTTTTACAGTAGCTAATAAATAATAGCTGTTAATAATATATTTAAAAATATGTAATTTCCTAGGGTAGGCATGGTTTGAGACACCTTGGGAAAGTGCTGTTTTGATATGCAAATTCCTATACAAAGAACATTATTCCTATTGACTTTCCCAGCATTCATCCCGTTATTGATTATGTTTCCAGAAGTCACATTCATTGAACTCTTTATTAAGGTTAACTTGAGCACAAACTTCTAGAACCCAGGAGTCAAATTAGTTTGATTTTAAATAACACAAATGAAAAGTAATAAAAGTGTGAACATATATTGAGCACTTTACCAGAGTCCTTTGGAAAAATAAACAGCAAATAATAAGCAAATAAAATTACCTTTTCTTTTCAAAGGTGAAAAAAGAAAAAAAAAATTGCACTTTTTTATCATGATGAAATAGAAGCATGTATGTATGTAGATAATTTTCAGTCTTTGGACGTGTCTGTTGAAACCTGTGGATGATAATCCCATCATAACAGGAGGAGGGGGAAGTGGGAAAGTGGAAGGTGACTTCACAGATCTCTTAGCCCTGAATCCACTTTTTCTTTTTGTACTTATATTTCCTTCAGTTACCTCTCCCAAGAAGTAATATTCTGGAAATATCATCTATTCACACTCTTCCATTCGAATTAATTTGATTTGTTTGTTTCTTCGTTTCTTTCTTTTTACTACTGGCCCAGTGCAATACTGAGCTAACTCTCAGTAGGTGTTTTCTGGGTCTCTATCTCATACCCAGCTGACTCTATACTGTAAGGATTTCACAGCTGTTTTTGTCTCAACAGGTTTCCTTTCTGGAAAACAAAGTCTGGAAAACAAAGTCTGAAAAGACACAGATCCCCGTAAGAGAAAGCAGAGATGGAAATACTTTTCTGTATCTGTACTGCATGTCACTCCATGTACCAAGAAGTTTTCTTCTTATGGTAAGGGACATACAGCACTCATATTGTTATGGCTTGCCTTATAACTTGTAAACAAAGCTATCTTACCTTATGCAGGGTATATTATACTGTTAGCTTTCTCAATTATGGAGTATTTTTTAGCCTCAAATAAAAAGAATTGGTATATCTTCTTCAACAACATACTAACAGCAGTTATTGCAGCAGACAGAAAATAACCTGGAAAACTGCCTTAAATGAGGTGGTTTTCTTTGTGTGAGCAGCTACGCTTAATGTCTCAGGTCAGACTAATTTACAGATGCAAAAGAAATTCTCTGATGTGTGCAATGGCCTTTTTTTTATTTATTTATTTTTTGCACCACTACTTCTTTACCACCTATCTGTGCAGCTATATTTATATATACATACAGAAATGCAAATACAGTCTGAACTAGAAGTGCTGAAAACTAATGAGGAAAATTCTTAAAGGCAACTTCCTTGCTACAGGGTTTTTTCCTTCTGTTCCAAGATGTCTGCTGCTTGTGCTGCTCTCCTTCCTTTTATGCTGATTTCAAATCACAGCAGGGCTCAAGGAGGCTCAAAGCCACAATGCAGGGTGGCAGGCTAGAAGGAATGCCTGCTGAACTCTTGCACAGGCATTTACATGCAAGTCGTGTTCCTCAGCTGTTGAAACAGCAAATGCTAATCAGGAATTGCCTGCATTGCTTACAAAGATCTCCTCATTACCTGCTTCACTGCAAAAGCTACCCCCTGTGCTTCACACTACATTTTACTTCCTTGTAAAGCTCAATTACCATAAACACTACTTAGCCAGTAGTCACTTCTTGCTATAAACAAAAGCTATTTGTCATTCTCAGTTTCTCTATACTAGCGATGGTTGGTTGCCTGTGAGTGGTATTTCTGTGTTTTTCCAAATAATATCCATTAGGATACTTAAACAATATTCCTTCAAATAGCACGTCACCTCTGAATCAAACTTCTTTTCTTTGGCATGTAAAACAGTTTCTCTGACAGTGCACAAAATAGAGGACAAAACTTCAGTTATTTTGCTCTGCCAAGTCAAAAAAACAAACAAAAAAACCCCCACAAACACCCTATTTCAATAAAATTACTAGTCTGATTCTCGATGTATACTGATAGACAGGACAAACTGGAATCACTACTATTCCACAGTTATAAAAAGCAGAGTAATAGTCTGTTTTGGGTTTTTTTTGTTGGTTATTGGTTGGCTGGTTGAATGATAGAATCCTGCACCAAATTATTGTAGCTATCCTGTTCCAGATGACTTGTTGCTACAGTAACTTTGGACAGGATTTTCATTCATCCAGTATTAGGATGCAATTCTGCCTGGGATAAAGTTGGTAAAAAAAAAATTTGAATATATGCTACATTGAAGCATGTTAATTGTTCCAGTGTTGTGGAAAGAGAGTATTCATGAATACTAAGCACCTGCTGGTAACAATACTGAAATATAGCCACTGATTCCTCTGAGAATTACTCTGGAAGGGGCTTCTGAAATAAGCACCTCCCATGAGTGGAATATTTCTAAGAATGATTTCTGCTTTGCTGCAGACAATTCTTATATTGCTAAAAAGTTGTTAGCACCCATATTTTCTCCAGTAAAGCAGCCATGGCACCTAAAGAACTGCTTCTGCATGTACCTAGGCCAAATCTAGCTCTACATAGCTAAACCTCAATCTAGTAAGAATTCAGAAAGTGAGCATCATGGGCTAACCGCACTGCCTTTAAAAAATTGTTTACACTTCATTTTATTTGAAGTCATTATCAGAGGAAAAGGCAGTTATATTTTGCCAGTCTAAGAGCCTTTTTGTCTAGAGGCAGAAGGAATACAAATCTTGAGAGATGTGGCTGACTTGAATCATTTAGATCTTCTCTTCAAGAATGACATCTTCAGTTTTAATTGCAGGCAATCTTACCCTTTTGTATTAGGAACTCTATGTATTACAAAACCAGACATGACTTGCAAACAAGAACTTGTGCTCAGGATATTTCTTCCAAGGTCAGTGCCCAAATTTAACATATAATCTTACATAAAAGTTGGTTTACTTCTGTCAAAGCAACATCTGAAAAATAAAGTACATGCCAGATGCCAATTTCCAAAACCCCAGGATAGGTCTCTGGCTCTAAACTTCAATCATATACATCTTCCTGGGTCCTAGGGAAGAGAAGGATGGATTAAATTGAACCTTGCTGGGAAGAACTGTCACTTGGATATTTGTGCTAGCTTCCTAACAAGTTATTGCTTGACGTGAGTCATATTTGGAGATGTAATAATTCTCCTGGTAGCTGTAGAGTTAATAAGTATTATCATTCACAGGTTGTGGGTTCACTCTTGGGATCAAAAAGTTTTACCATTGGGGAATTCTTAGTTTTGTGGCTCCCACAACTGCTGCCAAAACTTATCATTGTAGTATGACATAATATGTAGGTACCTCCACATGTAATGCCTCTTATTTATTTCCACAGAAACTATAACAGAAACAAAGAATACAAAAACATTATTTGATAGAGGAAATTCTCAGCTACAAAGCACTATTTTTCAACATCATTACCACCATTAGCTATGCACTTTTGGCAGTGATGAACAAGACTCTGCATGCCATGCTTATAAGAATCTGAACCAATGGAGGTAACCCACCGTTTCACAACTGCTATAACAGCTTCATTGCTAGGAAACTGTTATCCACACAGTCCATCTTTCATTGGCCCAAAAAGATGGAAGTCAGAGGGCACGAAATCTGGACTATACGGTGAGTGTAGCAGGACAGTCCAGCCAAGACTGGCAATGTGCTTCACAGTCTTCAAGTGGGTATGAGGTCTGGTCTTACATATTTCAAGAGAAAGATTGCTTTCTTGCTAATGTGAATCTGGAAGTTTGGGCCTTCTGCTTAGCATCACAATGTAACTGTCAGAGTTGATGGTTATTCCATGTTCGAGGAAATCCAAAAGGATCACCCCTTTCCCAGTGCACCCAGTGCACATTATTTCTTCTGCTGAGGACTGCATCTTGAAATTTTTATTTGATAGGAAATTCACATTGCCACTCCATGAACTGCTGTTTTGCTACGGTTCATAGTGGTGACATCACATGCTGTCAATGGTAACTATGTGATCCAGGAAATTGTCACTTTTACCTCTGTATTGGTTCAATAGATCCTTACAAGCTTGAATGTGGCTTTTCAGGTCTCTGGCTGCAGGGAGTGCCTGAGCCTGTTGCTACCTTTGGAAGGTAGCGGGGGTAACACCTGCATGAATTGTGAGCAGGTGGAAGATATGCTCAGCATGGTGGCAGAACATAGATGACTCCTTCCTGAGGGGAACACAAAGCCCTATATGTCAGCCAGAACCTACCCATAGGAAAGAGTGCTACCTCCCTGGTGATATTACTAAAAAAACTTCCTAATCTGATTTGCTCCTTTGTTTATTACTCTTTACTAATAGTTCAAGCTGGTAGCAATGAAGCTGCTGAGAGAAGCCTGAGGGCTGTTAGAAGCATCTTTAGGGCACTGGGGCAGTTAGTTGATGGAGCAAGAGTACAGGTGGCATTTTCCTCTATCCCCTCAATGGTAGTGAGGCATACCAAGACCAAGAAAATCCATCTTATAAATATGTAACTAAGAGGCTGGTGACACCACAAGAAT